CCCAAAGTGCTCCCGAAGAAGACTATGATGAGGATCGTTCGGAGGGGGAGGGTATATATCGGCCGCCGATTTGGGTTCCTAGTTGCGCGGAAGCGGCGATGCTTCGTATTATTGTGAGTGGTGGTTTCTGGTCTATGCCTCGGCTGCGCTTGAACGGATGCGCCCGCGCCTCCGAATGCCCACAGTGCGAAGAGGACCAGCGCAACAGCTACCACATCTCTTGGGACTGCAGCGGCAGCACACCAGCGACATCAGGCAATAGGTGGCGTCGACGTGCGTGGGTTCCCAGCAGTCTCGGCGGGGTCTTGGTTCTGGTCGGGAGGTCTAGCTCCGAGATCGTGTTCCCCGCCGCTACCGAGGCGGGGCGACGCGCACCGATGCCGCGCGCAGCATGGCTCTCTCGGCATTGTCACGGGAAAAATCTTCACGGACGGTGCATGTCAGAAAGCGTGGTTCTGGCCAGAAACTACGAGAGCGGGTTAGGGGGTTTGCAAAGTTGCAGGACGGGCCAGGTGGCATTGAACTACTGGTCTACGGTGCCCCCCCTGGGCCCTCTCAGAGCCCACCGCGTGCTGAACTACATGCAGTTCTTCAAGTACTGAGTGTATGTTTTCAACCCATCCACGTCCATACGGATTTCTTGGGGATCATAGGTGGGCTTGCTGCAGGCCCTGCTTTTACATGTGGGCCTCGCAGGCCCAATACAGATCTATGGACCTCCATCTTGGTCAAGATTGAGGATCCCTGGGGCCTTGGAGGGGCCATGCAAGTCACGCGCGCTCCGGGGCACCAATCGGGGAATTCGTTTGGGGCCCGAGGCAGACGCTGGGCTGACCAGGCCGCGCGACAAGGTCGGGACCTTCACGCGCCTGAAAGCTCAGCTAAGCGAGCGGCGCGTACTGCTTTGAGGTCTGTCCGACATGTGCTGCGCTGGCTTGTGACTGCGCACCTGCGCCACGTGGGGTCTGGGCGAATCCAGACCGAGCCTCGCCCTAGCAAGAGAGCTAGGCCGATGCCAGCGTCGCCCCCTGCTGCGCCGATAGACCCGAACCTGCGCCACGTCATGATTGAGACCCGAGAGAATCCATGGCATTGCAATGTTTTGTCGGGTTGGGGCGAAGACCAAAATTTCGGTGAAGCGGAAGGGCGCCGAGAGGTGCTTGGCCCGCGGATTTGTCCTTGGGATGTGTAAGGTCGCTTCGGCTCTCCCGAATGTTGGGGCCCCTTGTGATCCTCAGCTTTCGGAAGAGGTCGGTAGAGGCGGTGGGCGTTGGTCCTCTGCGTCGTCAGGCACCGACGCCGACGGCCGTGCTGCCACTCCCTTGCAGCCTTCCCCTTGTCCTAGGCTCTCCCGGGCCCGTGGACTTCCAAGGGGCCCCGCGGGGCAGCGAGGGCCTGAAGCGCGAGCGGGATGGCGAGCATCTGGAGACCCGTCATCAACGCTTGAAACCTACTGACATCAGGACGCGCGAGCGTCCCAGGTCTCCTAGCACGCGTCGTGTCAGGAGGCGAGTCTACTTTAACACAACCATTGAGTATAGCTCTCCTGATGCAAGCTTGTTGCAGGTTGCGAGCGAGAGGGTTTTGGCCCCTGGGGATGCTAGGTCAGCCTCTACAGTGGCCCCTGCGCGCCCTGGACTTGCTTATGTTCCGGGTGCCAAGCGTCGTCGCGCTACCTCGGGACGGAACAATCGGCCCACCAGAGCCGATGAAACCATTCCCGCCGCCCCCGTGCCGTTGCAAGGAGTGGTCCCCGCGGAATCCGCGAGAGGCCACCGTCTCTGGGTCTCCTCGGGGCAGGTGGCGCTTTGCGTTTCGTGCGGATTTTACGGCACTGGCACTTCGGGCCACTTAATGATAGACTGTCAAGCACATGAAGGGCACCCGGGCACACCATGTCAGAGCGTGCCCAGCGAAACCGGCGCGTTTTTCTCTCGGGACGGCACCCCGCCGACGAGGGGAAGGCCGACGGTCGGCTAATCCTGGGTCCGAGGCCGCTCCTGACCACGGACCCCGAAACCCGATGGGTTCGGCTCTTTGTGGAGCCATAGTTTCGTTTTCTTATGGGTTCTGGCGGCCTCAGCCTTCTGAGACCGCGCTAACTCTTGAATTCGGCGATTTCATGTCATAGCAATTTTGGCACTGTGTGCGGGTGGCCGAGATCCGTTCGGTGGACCCCCGCATGCTGCACGGCATGGGTGGCGCGTCCATTCGTGGCGCCTTTCCCCATAGGTGGTCGTTTGTGCACTGCGCGACGTTCCCCTGCAGTGCCTTATCCTTCTCCATTATGCGGATAAGAGTGAGGGGGCGGGCGCGGGCGACGCGGGCGTCCTCGAACCGGCGGACCTCGTGGCCCCCACCTTCCTTGTCGATGGCGCTCTCCTCCTCCTCCTCCTCCTCCTCCTCCTTCTCCTCCTCTTCCTCGTCCTCGTCCTCGTCCTCATCGTCATCGTCATCCTCCTCCTCTACCTCGTCCTCCTCCTCCTTCTCCTCTTCTTCCTCGTCCTCCCTCTCCCCCCCTCGTCCTTTCATCATCGTCCTCCCATTGTCGTCCTCCCCCTCATCGGCCTCCATCATCGTCCTCCCATTGTCGTCCATCATCATCATCCTCCCCCTCCTCCCCCTCCTCGTCCTCCTCCGCCCCCTCCTCCCCCTCCTCCCCTCCTCGTCCTCCTGCTCCTCCTCCTTTTCTTTCTCCACATTCTCCTTACATCCTCTCTTCTTCCGCGTTCTCCTCGTCCCCTGTTTACTCCTCCTGCCTCCCCCTCTTTTCCCAAGATAACTGCAACGCAATCCTTTTTCCACTTTATGCTCCCCGCCTTCTCTGATCAAGGCAACTCGCCAGGGCAGAGTTGCTGGACGGGCTGGTGTGGATGCGCGGGGCTTGAAGAGGTCCTTGCGGGCTCAGACGGCATGCAAGAATCCGCCGCCGCGTTTGTGCGGCACTGGTTTGTTCAGTGAACGTGGTTTAGGTCGCGGGTGGGTCGCGGGTTTTCCACCTCCACCTGGAGGGAATGCAAAAGCAACCCGCCGCAGGCGCCAAAAAAAAATGTTTGTACACTGGACGTGGTTTGGGTCGCGGGTGGGCCGCGGGTTCTCCACCGGGAACGAATGCAAAAGATGCCCGCCGCAGGCGCCAAAAAATGTGGTTTGCACCCTGAACGTGGTCGCGGATGGGCCGTGGGCTCTCCACCCGAAACGAATGCAAAAGATGCCCGCCGCAGGCGCCGAAAAAAATGGTTTGTACACTGAAACGAATGCAAAAAATGCCCGCCGCAGGCGTCGAAAAATGCGGTTTGTACCCTGAACGTGGTTTGGGTCGCGGGTTGGTCGCGAGTTGGTCACGGGGTGGGTCGCGGGCTCTCCACCTGGAAGGGATGCAAAAAAAAACCGCCGCAGGCGCCGAAAATGGTGGTTTGTACCTTGAACGTGGTTTGGGTCGCGGGTGGGTCGCGGGTGGGTCGCGGGGTAGGTCGCGGGGTGGGTCGTGGGTGGGTCGCGGGTGGGTCGCGGGTGGGTCGCGGGTGGGTCGCTCCCGGCGTCGCCTCCGGCGCCGCCCCTGGCGCGTTCTGCGCGCCAGGGAGCGGGGTGCAGCGCAGATCCAAAACATCCGCGTGAAGCTCCAAAAGGTTATGTATATGACGTTTCGTTGTTTCTTTATTGAGTTTTGCTCCTGTTGCTGCCGATGTTCCTCCTCGCCCTCCTCGTTCCTCATCCTTGGCTCTTCTTCCTGCTCGTCCGCCACCGCCGTCTCCGGTATGCAGGAGTCGCAGCTCTCCTCGTCTGACTTGGCATAACACGATGGGACTTGCCTGTCAGTTCCAGGTCAGCCGTGACGCCCGTTGGCGGATAGAGAAGCATCATCGCAATGGGAATTGATGGGTGGGAGGGGTCGGCATGGTTCGAGCGCACCTTGCTCCCCCTGCCTCCTCGCCTTCGGCCGACAGATGCGGACGAGTCCCATCGAGAATCCGAAAGCTGGACACGAACTGATCCGCACGCCAGCTGGCCGGGGGTTGGCGCGCTCACCAGGATCGATCGCCGTGCCTGGTCGCGGTGCCCCGCATGGTGGCTGCGAGCTGGCCCCCGGAGGTCCCCCGATCCCGAGCCGCCGTTGCGAGAGGAGGGGAGGAGGAGGAGGAGGAGGAGGAGGAGGAGGAGGAGGAGGAGGAGGAGGAGGAGGAGGAGGAGGAGGAGGAGGAGGAGGAGGAGGAGGAGGAGGAGGAGGAGGAGGAGGAGGAGGAGAGGGAGGAGGAGGAGGAGAAGGAGGAGGGGGGGGGAGGAGGAGGAGGAGGAAGAGGAGGAGGAGGATGAGGACAGCTTGTGGGAGGAAATGGCGTGGCGTTCGGACAGGCTCGCATGAGTCCAGTGATGTTTACACGATAGTTGGATGCGCAGAAAGCTTGCGTGAGGATCAGGGCAATCATCTGCAAAAGGTTGGGGGATGATTATGCGAGACCTTGTGCAGCGTGGACGAATGCAGGAGAATGCGGATGATGATGACGTTGACGAGGGGGGCAGGGAAGGATGATGAGGATGAGGAGGAGAGGGAGGAGGGGGAGGACGACGACGACAAGGAAGACGAGACGGTCGGCCGGGAGAGGAGGAGAAGAAGGAGGAGGAGGAGGACAACGCAATGTAGGAGGAGAAGGAGGAGGAGGAGGTCAACGACGACGACAATGAGGACGACAAATGCGACAAGGCAGACAAGGAGGAAGAGGAGGAGAAGGAAAAGAAGGAGGAGGACGACTGTGCGAAAGGTCGGCCGTTGGGGACCCTCTTTGGGCACGACATTTCTGATGCAGCGAGGCGATGTGGCAGGGGACGGCAAGGAAGACGACCAGGCTCGACCCAAAAGGGTGTTTTGGCGCTTTCGTGGACCGTGTTCGTGTCAATGTCGTTTCGCCGCAAAGGCAGATCGAAGACAGAACGAAGGACACCGAACACAACACAGACACGAGCCCTGGAGGACCAGAGGCATGTTCTGACGAGATGGGGAG